AATTTCATCATGAAGTCTTTCGAAATAAAATGCTCACATGTTTTATCTTCTGGCAACTCGATATTCACACCTGCAGAAATTCAAACAAAACCGGCCTTTCAGGAGCATCTTTAAAATGTACTAAACCGTCTGTTTTCACAGATAAGAATGTGAATGTCCTTTTTACATTACAAATCGGTCTTTGTCTACCAACAACATCAAACACATATCAAATTGGTTTAGCTGCTGACGTTCCAAGAAGTTGAAAATTATATGAAATTTTCATAATTTTTTACACACAGACACTTTTACATGATGAGAACAAACTTAGAAAAAATAAATTCAAATCACGAAAAACGTTAGATGCCCCACAGATGACTGAACTATTTTGTTTCGTTATGGACCTGAAATTCTGAACACTGCGCTGATTTGATCCAGTTTTGGAAACATCCATAATATTTGACACCAAACACCAAATTTTCCATACCCCTGCCCTTCAAACTACACTTCCAAAAATATTTCTGTAATGAACTTCAGAAAAAAAAAAGGTTCGCGTCAGTATAAAAAGAATAAATAAAAGCTTCCGTTCTCTGGGGTTGCCTGGTCGAACAATTAACATCCAACATTGCATTTGCCAATCGTTGCTTGTTGTTGAGCAGTTCTGTAGTAGAAGGTTGAATGAACAATCATTAGACAAAAAAAAGTTTCCAGAAATTTTCACAAAATGCAAATGATTAGAGACAGTTCAACATATTTCGAAAGAGTATTTTTTCCAAACTGGTATACAAGTATTGATTTTTAATTGTTTAGATGTAGCTTTTGCGAGCAGATTACTTGTCCAAATAAAAACAAACTTTTTTTCAGGATCCTAATCATTCATCATTCTTTAGATGTTAGAAACGAGAAATCACTGGTCCCCGTCGAATGGAAATGAAAAATAATGAAGATATGTCATGATTCTGCTGCGTTCTCAGGAAGTTAATTCCACATAAACGCAGTTCTCCAAATGAAAGAGTTCTTAAACAGTGAAATTCGAGGTGTACTGAATTGAATCTCAAAACGATGAGCAGCCACAGTCCGTCGCGTATTTCTGATATCTACCGCTCTTGGTGCCAAGTGACTTCACTTCCCGTGTATGTACCTATAGAAGAGAGACAGATCCCAACCTTTCTTCGATGTTCCAGACTATCAATGTTGCGTCTTCAATCAGGCGGATGGTTCTTTTCTGGATGAAATCCAGCAGCTTCAGGGTGTGCTTAGGGGCAGAGCTCCATATACATGAGAACAATACTCCAAAGAAGGTCTGACCTGAACTTTATAAAGCATCAAAAGTTGCTGAGGTGTGTACAGTTTTCTGGTTGGGAACAGTGTTCCAAGTTTTTGAGAAGCAGCAACCTCCTGCTGCCGATGAAGATGTGCATCTGCAGACGATGTCCTGGAATCCAAATGGAATGACGAGACAAGTGTGCTGTCTTCAACAAAGCAATATATTGGATTCTTCGTTTTTCCCAATAAGTCGTTGATATTTAATAAAAAGAGGGTTGGAGACAATATGAATCTCTGGGAAACACCAGCGTTGATGGTAAAAGTATTCGGGAAAAATCCATCGACGGCCACTTGCATAGAACGTTTTTTCAGAAAGCTGAAGAGCCATACACAAAAATGATCCGAGAAGCCATAGCATCGAAGTTTGCCCAGCAAACTCTCATGCCACATACACGGTCAAAGGCCTTAGAAATATCAAGCGCAACAGCTCTTGACTCTCCACGTTTCTGGATTGCATTATTCCAAATATGGATGAAATACGATAGAAGGTCGCCTGTTGATCTTCGTTTCCGAAAGCCAAATGTCACTGATAGCAAAGCGATTGGTCTGTAGTTATTTGGAAGATTTTTCTTGCTCTTTTTGGGGATAGGCTGAATGCGAGCAATCTTCCAACAAGAAGGAAAACCCCTTCCTTGCACTAATAGAAGAGACAACATTTTACTGGTGTGCGCTGTGTTCAGCAAATGGCGACGTCAAACGGTACAACACTTGATCTGTACAGTTGAATGTGAAATACGAGTATTTTGAGTTGTTTTATTGTGAATTTGTGAGAGTGGTGCTTTTCCTTGTGATTATTATTGATGTGATAAATTGACGAATAGAAAAAACAAAATACATTTGCAAACGTGAAGTACAAGAAATCACAACGATTAGTAAAGGCCAGCTGACAGGACTTGGTTTTTAATTTACCGTTTGTCTTAATATATTATAAAATTTTCGATAGGCGTTGTATATGAATAATTATTGTTCCGGAATTAGACAAATTGAAGAATACATTATGCAATCTCTTAGGGTAGTTTCCCCTCATTCCAGACTCTATTCATTAGAACAAAAGACGAATGATAATAACAAAGGCGTGCGGAAAATCGTACAATTCCACTTCAGCAAA